CAATTCTGGGACACCTAATGACACCAGAACACTTAAGCAGCGGCTTTTCCATATTCCTGAAAGCATGGATGAAATAAGTTTCACTTCTTTCCTTCAGCCATATCTTTACGTGGGAGTCCTGTATTTAGAGCACCGTCCAACGTATTTCGAGTTGAGCTCGTCACGCAACACTCACTGGGAGAGGGTTCCAAGGAAACGTGTTGTGTGACATGTCCACACTATGAATTTGCTTAGTATATTTCATATTCCCAAACTGAAATGAGAGAAGTGAGAGCAGGGCATACATATACAACTATCGGAAATCTGCGCGCAGAATCCAAATTTCCTCAACAAAGGGGCATATTATGTTTCAAGCAACTTTGGATTCCGTGGTGTGTCGGGCACAATTTTTTTGCCTTCAAATCGTAAAAAATCAAAACAAAAAACAAGCAAAAACAACAAAGAACAACAACCACAAGAGTCGAGAGATACACAAGTCGTGACAAAGTTCATTTCAGAACATTCCATTATCGATCCCTTAAATTCTTACATATCTGCTATAATGCTTAGTTCCGCGAAAATAATGCGCTTCTCTCAGTAAGTGCTTTGTTATATATTTAGACTTTCTCTTAAACAATTATATGGCAAAAACATGCTGTTGCATTTGGCGCGCGGGCAACAACTGCGCAGTTGTATCTCGGTCGGGATACATTAGAATTTAATCATGGGCACGTGACGAAGAATCAACCAATCACAGTGCTAGTTTTTTTGAGTGAAAGTCTAGGTGTATAACAGCAGGCTTCGGAAAATGATTAAAAATGACCGTATATGGCCACTTTGGAACGATGGCGGAAACAGTTTAAAATACACGTGGAATTTTTCAAAATTTCCGTTTATCATACGAGCGGCAAATTTAAATCATTGACAAAAAGACGAATCCTTCCCGTGGGGCGTGATACTGGTGGAAGTTTTTAGGATACAAATAGTCACAGTGGGGTGGATGGTGGGGCGACTGTCTTAAGGACACTATGTACAATAAAACAAACAAGGAACTTGCGTTTAAATGAAAAGGAATGATCCAATTTAATTAAGCTACGGCAATTCTAAGAAAAATAAACGTTTTTGCTTAGAATAATTACAAAATATGGCTCCGACTGGGTAAAATCTACTTTACATTGCTTCTGTTTCGTAACTACGAGTTAATAATTAGTCCTGGATTTTGACGTAGATAAAAAATCAAAGCAGGTAACCAGCATTGCTATATCGTCCGGGAACCGAACCTCTTAATTGTTGCATAGTTAATCGTTTTTGTTAGTCTAAAATCAGAAGATCTTACTTTGCATCATGTAATTATCCAGATGGAAAAGAGTTTACATTAAATCACCTATAATACTGTTACAACTCGACTGTTCGTTTATATTCAGGCACG